TGTATATATAAAGGCAGCCGGGGCGTGAGTTTTTTATCATTGAGAAAACAAGAAAAAAAATAAAAAGGAAAAAGAGAGGCATGATATGTGCCTTCGGCAAAAGTTTTTTGTGTGCGTGTTCATTGTGTGATTTGATGTAATCGATCTTGTGGGCGAGCTCCAACAATTCTCACAAGAGTATTCCAAACCATTATTGAGTTTTGCTTATATCATCTTTTATTATTCCAAATAAGGAACCAACCTATACTCAGAGCCATCAGCCAGATATGCTCCATAACTTCCAATTGATGCCGCTATTAGTATGGGGCGCTCCCTATATATTATTCCATCTTTGGGCTCATCAGAACTACTAGAACATTTTCCTATATATGTATCCCGTGCTACACGTGCTAGTTCCAGTCTTTTGAATATGTTCACTTTCCTCCTGAGAAAATCCCCTCGAAAGAAAACCCTGAATTGTTGCGTGTGATAGCATTGTTACAAGCGATGGCAGTCATTTAGTTGAGAATTTACTTGCCTGAAGGATGTCATATTAAAAAATGAATACCTGATATGAACCTGTCATCAAAACGCTTGCCCCAGCTTCGAGATACTCTAAATGAACATATTCAAATGAAAATACAGTGTACTTATTAAGAAGCTACTACAGGCCATATGTACATCAACAAGAATCATTTACTGTAACAAATACACTGCAGTTAAGCAAAGATGATGTACCAAAGGAACAATACTTGATGCAACAGCACCTTGCGAAGCCTTTAGTACCAATCTTAGTTCATCTAAATCATAGACAATGCCTTCCCATGGGCTTGGTTAGAGAAGGCAGGAAGCATGTAAATTCAAAGAAGACTGCAAAATGGAATCAGATTTCCAAAGTACAATGTCACACACGATGATTTGAGAACTAGATGCCATGGATATAAAAAAGATGTGCACCACACATAATGCCCGGGTCCCCCGTGTCGTCCCCCGCTAGGCTGACTCGGGCAGAGACCCTCAACTGCACCGCCGGGCCACCTCCGCCTCCATCCCCGTCCTCCCCTCCGTCGCTGTTGGAGGAAGCCGCCGGGCGAAGCCCCGGGCGGCCAACGGCGGTGGCGGAGGACCTCTTCCCTCCCGCGTCCGAATCAGGTGAGAGGTCACCCAACGGCGTCAGGCACTTCTCCCTGATCTGGGTCGTGGCGGCGCGGTGGCTCACTTCTGGCAACGATGCAATGCGGCGACGCGGTGGTGGGTAGAGGCGGCGGAGCTGCAAGGCGACGTGGAAGATCGGGTGGTGCTGACCGCTCGACGCGTCTGCATGGTCACGACGACTATTGCTGCGGTGGCCGATGGCTCGGCGATTCAGTGGCGGCGTTTAGCCTGGATCCCGGGGTGGCGGCAGGTGAAGCTCGGGCTACCCGCGGCAGCATGGCGTGGTGCTGTCCCTGTCCAATGTGGATCTGCACCGGCGATCTAGTGGCTTTGGCTCTGGATTGGTACGGATCAGAGACGGTGACGAGCGCGTGGGATCCCTCTCGGCAGCTCCCGTGGTTTGGCAAGGTGGGGTGGCAGCCCTCCTCCTAGGCTCCAATGGTGGCACTCTTAGGCAATGGCCAGTGTGCTAGGTTTCCCATGGTGGCAGTCTTGCCGCGGATGGTCGGCGGATCTAGGCAGCTAGATCTGGGGCTTTGAAGGTGGTCGGGACGGTGCACAGGTTGTCGGTTGGATTTCTTGGGACAAATCCGGGTGAAAACTTGGTCTTCGGCCAGTGGCCGGAGCTGGTGATGGTGATGCCATTGGCGTCGTTTCCTTCATGAAGGCATCATCGAGGTGAAGCTCCCAACTCCTCCCGCGACCTCCAGGGGAAACCCTTGATTAGTTCAATGGATGATGGCGGCGCACTTGTGTTGTTCCCTCCTTGGGGGCGTCATTCTTGGAGTGGTGAATTGGCTCGAGGGACCAGTGAACGGTTTTAGCTGTGGAGCGGTGTTTCATGTCACGCATCGACAATGTGGAGTCTCGGCGGCGTGGCGTAGCAGGGTCTCAGCGATGGATGTGTGATGATGGACGCGCATAGGGAGGTGGCGTTGTATGGCGCTGTGGTGGCGTCGGCGGTAGGCCTGACAATTGATGAGTCAGTGCCTGCTCTGAAGATGGATCAGTGGAAGACGGCGGCGGCGGCCTCTGAGCGGGCGCCAAACCGGTATGTGCCCTAGACCTGGTAGTGGCTTGGATGGGGCCTCCGTTTTTAGATGTTAGACTTCGGTGCGAGATTCGTTCCATATTCGGCACCCCTTCATCAGTTGGATAGGAGTAACGACAAGTGTTGCTAAGACGGTGGCTTCAGACTTAATAATGTATTACTTTGTAAGGTCTTGGTGAATAATTAGTAAAATGACTGCATGACTGCATGCGTTGTCCAGATGCACAGGCCAGTGATCATCCTCCTTTTTAACAATAAAATAAAAAAGATGTGCAAATACTTCTGCCATTGGCTTACAACTGTTTGAGTGAGAATTTAGGGGGAAAATGCACCACACTTTGGTTAGGCTCTTGGCCGTGTTATATACAGATTACAAAAGCCAGGAGATATCATGGGGGCGTCCCATGAACCACGATCGTGCGCCACTACCAGAGACAACCGGCAGCACGATCTGCTAGGCTACAGGTCGTATGCGCCGTGTACTATACATGAGGCAGGCACATACGATATAGACTACGTATACAGTCTAACACCCCCCGCGCAGTCATGACATCGTCACTGGCGATGCAAAGACTGGACCTGAACTCAAAGAAAACATCTGAGGGAAAGCCTTTGGTCATGATGTCGGCGAGCTACTGCTGAGTGGGGACGTGGGGAACATGGAACTCGCCAAGCGCCACACGCTCATGCACAAAGTGGATGTCGAGCTCGACGTGCTTCGTCCGGTGGTGATGAACTGGGTTGACGGACAAGTAGACAGCGGACACATTGTCGCAGTACACCAGCGTCGCCTTGTGCACCAGCGTGAGGAGCTCGCCGAGGAGTTGCCGGAGCCAGACGCACTCGGCGACCGCGTTGGCAACACCGCGGTAGTCGGCCTCTGCACTGGAGCGTGACACCGTCGCCTAGCGCTTGGAGGACTAGGAGACGAGGGAGTCGCCGAGGTAGACGCAGAAGCCAGAGGTGGAGCGGCGCGTGCCGGGGCAGCCCGCCCAGTCGGCGTCGGTGAAGGCACGGAGATCCAGTGTGGCAGAGGCGCAGAGATGCAGGTCGAGCGATGCCGTGCCACGCACGTACCACAGCATACGGTTAACCAGGGCGAGGTGACACTCACGCGGGTCGTGCATGTGCAAGCAGACTTGCTGGACGGCGTAGGCAAGCTCGGGGCGGGTGATGGTGAGGTACTGCAGCCACCAGCAATACTCATGTAGGCAAAAGGATCATCGACGCGAGGCTCGTCGGAGGCGGGCAGCTTGGCCTTGGTGTCGATCGGCGTGGGCGAGGGGCGGCAGGTGTCCATGCTAGCACGCTCCAGGAGTTCCTCGGCGTACTGCTGTTGGCAGAGGAAGAACCCAGTCGCGGTCCGTGTCACATGGATGTTGAGGAAGAAATGAAGCGCTCCAAGGTCCTTCATGGCGAACTCGTTGGTGAGCTGGTGTGATGCCCCAAGACCGGAGCTTCAGATGCCTTCCATGGTTTCTGAGATTCGTTGTGTGATTTATTTTTGCTTGTTGCATTCATCATTGCATCATGTGCATTGCATCATGTCATCATGCCATCATGTCTTTAATCTTTCCAACTTAACTAAATAAACCGTATGGATCTTTGATCCATTTAAATCGAGGGAATTTACATGGTGAAATTCTCTTTAAAACATACCAAAGTCTCCTACTATTATTAGGGAGCTATTAAAAATATTTCAATAATTTGGAATCACCCATAAACACACTTGCAAATATTCCCCGTGTCTTTTCTACTTCAAGTTTGACTTCAAAACCTTTCCCGCAATTCTCTTCCCATTTGCCGAGGTTCCTCCAAAAATTTCAACATTTTTGGACACTTCAAAAACCAAGTTCTAGTTCAAACCCATTTGAATTAAATTCAAATGAGTTTGAATTCAGATCTTTCAATCTTGGCCATTTCTATTTTTCTCGGATCAAGCACATTTTTATGAGTCTCGGGAAATTAACCTCATGCCAAATTCTATCCCTAACACCTTCCTTTTCTTCTCCTTTCCTTTCTTTTTCCTGTTTTTTTAGATTAGTGAGTAGTGAGAGTTCGATGAGAAGGCCATCAGCCCAGCCAGGCAGACCCATCTGTGCCTAGGCGCAGCCCCCCCTCTCTACTGGGCCGGCCTCTAAGGCCCAACCATTGTAACCCTAGCCTGCACCCAATGCCCATCTCACCCCTCGCTCCCTTCCCCTCGTTCCCTCTGCTCGCCGCCGCTTGCATGATCCCACGCACGTAGCCTTGATCCCCATCTCTCTCGCTCTTCTCTCGACCCATCCCCACGGTCAAGCCCCATGCCCGCACAGCTCCATCCCTGCAGCCCTCCTCGCTCGATCTTGAGCGCCCCAGCGCCGCACCTCGCCGCCGCTTGCTCCGGCGACTAGCAGGACGCCGCCACAACGCCGACCAACGCCGGCGTCGACCTCCTCCCTCACGCGCGGCTCTCCTCCCGCCTCCTTCATATTCTGCGCCTCCACGTCGTCTCCCACACCCCGGCCTCCTCGTCACTGCTTTGCCCGTCCCCGGCTACCGGTGCCCTCGCCGGAGCCACCTTGCCTCGCCCGCCGGCGAGCCCCTTCTCCGGCAATCCCATACTCTGCTCGCCCGCCTTGCCTCGCGCGCGTCCACGACCACCATCTTGCTCCATCGCCGCCTCCCCTGTTTCTCCTTCCCCACGTGCCGACTCCTTCCCCTCGTGCCGAAGCCTTGCTGCTGCCTGCGTTCGCCACCACCTGCAGCTGACGGAGGAGGACCTCCTCGTCGTGGCTCTGCCTCCACAAGAAGCCTCCTCCTGCCTGTCATCTCCATGGCCTCGAGGAGCCACTCAAGCTGTCGGTCGCTCTGGCCCTTGCGCATCACGTTTGAACCGAGGAGACCGACACCGCCAAGTCCAAGGATGATTCTTGAAGATTTTGGACGCGCCAAGTTCCTCTATGGAAGTACATCTACATGATGACCAGTCAAGTACCGTGGCACCGAAGACCTTTGACGCGTTAAGTCCCTCTTCGACAATTGTTGGACTACCATCCCGTGCATTGCGTCAAGTACCCCTTCGGATCACCAAGGAGGATCTCTACCGTTGAAGAGGTTCCGATAAGACCGTCAAGCGAACGACTACTTCCACGACGATAAGAGAACAACTACTACCGACGTGCATTTCGCCAAGTACCCCTACCGATGACCCGAACATCTACGATCCGTGTATCACTACAGCCGGTGTGTATTTCGTCAAGTCCAACTACGACACAAACGACTACATGATGACTCCGAAGAACATGGAAACGTCAAGTTCCATCCCGAACGTGTATGACTGCTTCAACGACACCCCGTGAATGTCTACTTCCTCTACGTCCCATCGAACCCGAACCGTCTCAAACGCATGATTCGAAGGTATAACCGCCGAGAATGACCGCCGGTGGATGAATGCATGTGTTGTATGAGATGCATGTTTGGATGTTTGGATGTTGTATCCGCCCGTGAACGATTGTCCTCCCTCCTCGGTTGCCATGCCGTCGACCCATGGGAACCCGATATTCAGGAGCACCCCACCATCCTTGCATGACACGCTCCCGTCACATTTCATTTTGCACCCGTATCTCCATGAGCTACCGGAACCGATATGTTGCCGTGGCATCATTTTCGGTTTCGTTGCCGTGGCACCCCTTTCATTTCTGCCACGATGACAAATGCTTCATAACATGCTCTTATCAACATTTTCATAAATATTGCATAAAACATGCAAATTTCATCCGCATCATGATAATAACATCAATAATGTTTAAATTGTTGTTTGCTTCAATTGCTAAATGACATGTGGGATTTACCGGAATGTTTATTTGTTGTTTCCGGCCTCACATAAAATTGCCTAAAATGTGTAGTTTACTTTTGCCTTACCTCCTGCCATGTTTAATAACATTTAATATTGTTGGGTACATAATCAGGAGTGAACTAAATAATCGAATGTGGTGTTTCATCAATATGCAACTCTTTGCATATCGAGCTCCACTTAATTTGTAGTATTGTTTATTGCACCTTGCAATGCCATGCCTCTTTAAACCGGACATGCATCATACTTGATTGTGCATCATGCCATGTTTATGCTTGTTGTTTTACCATGTTGTTTGCTCCTTTCCGGTGTTGCTTCTTCTTGTTAGTTCCGGTAACGTCGCGTTTGTGAGGATTCGTTCGACTATGTCCATTTGTATTCTTCATGGACTCATTCTTCTTCCTTGCGGGATTTCAGGCAAGATGACCATACCCTTGAAATCACTTCTATCTTTGCTTGCTAGTTGTTCTCTCTATAACTATGTTGCACTACCTACCACTTGTTTATCCTGACTCCCATATTGCCATGTCAAGCCTCTAACCCACCTTCCTAGCAAACCGTTGTTTGGCTATGTTACCGCTTTTGCTTAGCCCCTCTTATAGCATTGTTAGTTGCAGGTGAAGTTGAAGTTTGTTCCATGTTGGAACATGGATATGTTGGGATATCATATTATCTCTTATTTAATTAATGCATCTATATACTTGGTAAAGGGTGGAAGGCTCGGTCTTATGCATGATGTTTTGTTCCACTCTTGCCGCCCTAGTTTCCGTCATACTGGTGTTATGTTCCTTGATTTTGCGTTCCTTACGCGGTTGGGGTTATGGGACCCCCTCGACAGTTTGTTTTGAATAAAACTCCTCCAGCAAGGCCCAACCTTGGTTTTAACATTTGCCACTTAAGCCTTTTTCCCTTGAGTTGTGTAGACTCAAGGGTCATCTTTATTTTAAACTCCTGGGCCAGTGCTCCTCGGAGTGTTGGTCCAAACTTGGCGATGTCCGGCGCCCCCTGGGCAACCAGGGTCTATGCCAACCCGACGTCTTGCCCATCCGGTGTGCCCTGAGAACGAGATACATGCGACTCTTATCGGGATTTGTCGGCACATCGGGCGGCTTTGTTGGTCTTGTTTTACCATTGTCGAAATGTCTTGTAACCGGGATTCCGAGATTGATCGGGTCTTTCCAGGAGAAGGAATATCCTTCGTTGACCGTGATAGCTTGTGATGGGCTAAGTTGGGACACCCCTGCAGGGTATAAACTTTAGAGAGCCGTGCCCGCGGTTATGTGGCAGATGGGAATTTGTTAATATCCGGATGTAGAGAACTTGACACTTCACTTAATTAAAATGAATCAACTGCGTGTGTAGCCGCGATGGTCTCTTTTCGGCGGAGTCCAGGAAGTGAACACGGTCTTGTGTTATGCTTGAACGTAAGTAGTTTCAGGATCACTTCTTGATCACTTGTAGCTTCACGACCGTTGCATAGCTTCTCATCTTACTCTTACTTGCGTATGTTAGCCACCATATTTGCTTAACGCTTGCTGCCGCTCCACCTCTTTACCCCATCCTACCCATAAGCTTAAATAGTCTTGATCTCGTGAGTGTGAGATTGCTGAGTACTCATGGCTCACGGATACTTCCAAACAGTTGCAAGTGCCGATGATACCAGCGCAGGTGGCGTAACCGAGCTCAGGTGGGAGCTCGATGAAGATCTTGGTCGTTGTTATGTGACAGTAGTGGTGCCCAGTTGGGATGATCGGGGATCTAGCATTTGGGGTTGTCTTCTTTTATTTTGGTTCCGTAGTCAGACCTTGATTGTACTCTGGATGATGTATGTTTAACTTGTTATTTGTGTGAAGTGGCGATTGTAAGCCAACTCTTTATCCCTTTCTTATTCAGTACATGGGATTGTGTGAAGATTACCCCACTTGCAACTAAACCACCATGCGGTTATGCCTCTAAGTTGTGCCTCGACACGTGGGAGATATAGCCGCATCGTGGGTGTTACAAGTTGGTAATCAGAGCCATCCTCGACTTAGGATCCCCCTGCTTGATCGAATCACTGACGTTGTTGAGTCTAGAACAAAATATTTTGAGTCTTAGGATTATATACATCGGAGAGTTGTATTCTTCTTACTCCTCAGTCCCTTCGTCGCTCTAGTGAGGCCTCCTGATGTAGAAGTTTTGACTTTCCTCTCCTCAAATTTCATGAAATTTTTTTAGGATCACGTGGGTATCTTGGAATCGTTCCGATATTCTTGTGACGAGAACATTGTTCTTGGTGCCTCCTGACATTTAGGGGTTGTGGCAGTGTCCTGGGGAGTTGAGATCCGAGGTGTTGTCGCCACAATTTTATCGTTGCAGTTCTGGAATACCTGAGTTCGCCGACATCAAAAATCTCTTTTATGCAGTTGTTGGTGAGATAACCTCGACGCCACCCAGTACTGGGGCGGGAGTTCAGGAGTATTTCCATAGCTCGTTTAATGGATGATTTATGAAGGTTGAGGTACACAATTTCCGAGAGTATTTCCATAGCTCATATAACAGATGCTTTTCGAAGGTTGAGGTACACAATTTCCTAAGGTTTCTTCGTTATGTGTTGACGGATGGATACAACTGGATGTAGGGATTGTTAGTTTGGGTGAGATATTATGCTTCCCCTGTATCCCCAACACCAGATTGCATAACCAGAAAGTTTCAGGAGTTCTATAGGTGGGAATTCAAGTAGCTCCTATAATATATTTCCAACAGACACATGATACGATATGGGATCTATCATATGTTTGTTTCCGGCTTATTCTGCAAGACAAATCTTTATTTTGTTTTGGTTTGTGGTATTCGAGTTGCTTCAATGTCAAATGTGGATTCCGTACCTTTTCTAAACGGTGTTCTCATGTTTCTATGTGGTTGCTAATCCTTCTTGATCATCGAGATTGTCATGTCAATTCTTTCCAACCGGTGCGTTTCCCTTCAACATGATCCTATCATTTTTCCCATTCGCAAGATCACCCCTCAGTTTCCCCGACGGTGTTCGTTTCATCCGTTCCAAGTTGTCTTTGTTTTTCCCGCCCTCCCACCCTTTTCTTCAAGGACTCAGATTTCTTAGTCAAGTATCCATCTTATTGATGTGAAGTCTCTTCTTTCTTTTCTTTCAATGTTCTTATCCGGTAATTCTCAGGAAGATACTAATGGAGCTTCAAGTTCGTCATTCTTCTCTCTTTTCTTCTTTGGTGGATTCAATTCAAGCTTTGTCGATCATATCCTTTCCTCGTTTCAAATGTTTTCTCATGCCGGTGCACCTCTTAATCATCCACTTCTCGCTATTCAATTGTTCCGGAGTGCTGAAGATATCTCAAAGATTCGTGTTTCCACTCTGCATTTGTTCAAGCTCTTTCGAGGATGTTATCTCATTCAAGCCATTTAATTCAATAGGTGCAATCTCTCTTTTCAAGCAATCTTTTCAACAGTGTATCTTTTGAGTGGGCCCTAACCCACAGGTCTTTTCCCAGGATCGTACCTAAATCTTCTAATTTTCCCGGAGTAACTCTCAAATTCTTCTCCAAGTTTGACGTAAGAATGAATTATCATCAGTCAAATGTCTTTCTCCAAGATCTTTCAAATTCTTTTCATTGTTGGTTCAACCTTTCTAATTTTCATTCCGGAGTGCCTCAACAATTCATGGTGGTGTTTCCAATCATCATTCTCAACATTTGAAGACCGAAGAAGAGGTTATCTTCAATCTTATCCATTCTCTAAAAGAGTCATGGTTCTAGCTTCATGCCATCTTCATAATTGCTCCGATCATCAAGGATTCTTTTCACCCATCTGGAGCAATTTAGGAGTCTTTTCAGTTTGATTCTCCGGAGCCCATCATCTCAGAATTATTCATTCCAGCTTTCAACTCTCGTTCTCCAAATCATACTGGTGCATTGTTCAAGTATTCTCTAATCAGCTCAGGATCTCTTCGTTCACTTGCATCTAAATTCTCTCAAGTATCTTCCTTCATTTTATAATTCTTCCCGGTGTTTCGTTATCTTTTCTTTGTTCGTTTTTAAATCCTACAGTGGTTCTTTGAAGACCTTCCCAAGTTTACGCTATATCTGTCTTAATCCTTTCTACGAGAATAAGTAGTATGCCAAATCCGTTGCTTGTCATCAATTTAAATTGGTGAAGGATACGCATAACACAATTCTTTATTCTTGTTTCATCCAAGTGATTAATTCCTTATTCAGGAGGTTCATCAAAATTCTTGATTTCATTTGTTCATCTTTCTTTCTGGAGTTCCAAGTTTTCTCGGTTATATCATCGCGTAGCTCCATCTAATCAATGCAAGGATTCATCTTATTCTTTTCAAGCTTCTTTTCCTTGCGACCTTCTTTTATATATCCAGTGTTCTTTGAGAGTTTCTTCATGGTGGCTTGTCAAGGATTCTTTTCATTCTCAAATTGTTCTTCAAGATTTCTCTCGAAGCTAAGATCTGCCAAGCTATACTCTAAAATAAACATGGTGTTC